TGTTAAGGATATTGAAAAATAAGAGGTATTTTTACAGTGTTTTTAAAGATATGACATCAGATCACATGGTGTCAGAAGCCGGCTTAGGACCAGAAGCATTTCTTCCAAACGGTAATGTTTTCATTCCATCTGCTAAATCGTCTGATGTTAACTCAAATCCCTGTGCTAGACGGAGAGGTCGACAGCCGAGTTTTACATCCAGATCCATTGAAGAAAATAGTGTACAGAGTTACCTTGCCACAGCATCAGGAAACATAGTTTACGGGTTGTCTCCCATGGTGAGTAATGTTGTTTTTACCTAATCGTAATTCTAGTCATTTCATTGAATTGTTCTAATGATGTCCTAATTGCACGTTCGATCAAATTGACATATTAGTGTTTTATTTCTCTAACTTATGCGACGCTATTTCATGTGTTCCGTGATAGCCTGACCAATCCACCAAAGCGGATTTCCACCCCGACAACAACACTATCAGTGATCAGACACAGTTTTCACATGGAGATCCAGTGCCAGGTTATTTTGATACAGACGCCAGCTGTCACCAAAGATCCAATCTTTGTCACCATATTGGTAATGGTATTAACGAACACAGTATGGTCAGTATGAACTCTGAACCGACAGAAAATTTGGCGCAAACAAGTTCTACTCAAGCCAGCTATGAGGCAAGAATGGACCATTTCGTTCATGAGGCTGGTCAGTTTTCCACAGAGTCCGAAAGTGAGCGAGATGTGGGGTTTTCTGGCCACAGCACCAGTAGTAGTTGTCAGTTGGAAACAAGTCCCACAGATCAAGAGGTATTATTAAACCTATAGTACAATGTAAAATCTTCTATACTTAATAGAAAATTAAATCTCCTTCTCGGCAACAGTGACATCAATGGCTAAACCGCCAATACTTTACAACCAAATCAAATTCAAGAGATGCAATTTAGTAACCGGATCTTGCCTGGCATTAAAATACCATTATCCCACATAACTGAAGCTGTCCTCATATAAAACCAGAAATCTATTCTTAAAAAGATTATTCTTAAAAAAAAATGCCTACCCGATAGCTATCTTAGTCCAGTTTTGTTTTTCGTTGGTATTAACCACGTGGTACAAATGTATGTGACTGATAAGTATGGAGCACATAACTTTTTTACAATCATTGTCTGTTGACAAGCAGGTCGGTAGTGCTTGGAACAATTTTCCTATCGATTGGTCAGACGCAGAAGCAGATATTTGTCTGCATGGAAACAACAAAATTGATGATCTCATATATCATTTTGGTGAGTAACTATTTAGACATGTAAATATTCAGCAGATAAGATTAGCATTCAAACATGAAGGGAAAAAACATTATTTAACAAGAGTTATTTAACAAGAGCATCATACTATAAATGCGAAAGCAGTATAAACTGTCTTTAACAATATGTTGCAGATAAGTTTTTCCGTGGACAGATAGACAATAAACTTAGCGAGATGGGCGATTTTATACACTCTTTGATGACGGAGCAGCAGACCCACGTGAGATATATTGTCAACACGGCGGTCACAAACAGTCAGGTAACGTCACCTCAATATTGTTATATTCTAGATGACTAGTATTATACCATTTCTCTGCAAAATGACAATTGTTTTGCTGATTTCATGTTAATAATAGAATATAGGCATCCTTACATTTTAGTACAAGGTATTATCATTAAAAGTTTCTATCTAGAGTTTTACATATATTACCTGATTCACGTCTTATTGAAATAAAAGAAATTAGCCGAGACTCGGTAAATAGTCGTGCATTGATTATAGGATTGTGAGAAATTCCAGATATTGTTGCAAAAAAAATCTGATATTTTACACGGTGCTCTATTTATAACGTTTTCGTTCAGAAAGAAAACCCCTTCCTTGATAATATTGTCGAAACAGAATTAAAAGTTAGATAGACAACATAATCGTGCGCTGCTGAAGGTGTGTCATCCATGATTCTTCAACATGGCAGAGACACTTTTGTACCTGTCACCCAATGCTTAACTTACAGCTCTCGGTTGAACCGTTTTCAGTTTCTTTATTTTGGCTTCAATGCACACTCAACAGATTCTTATTCAACAACAAATCGCACCGATGTCATCCTTGAAATTTCTTGGTTTTGTTGTTTGGAGTTACTCCCGCTGTCATGTACGAATTACCGTCTCCTATTTTCCCCGGCGTGCTGCTGCTAAACGTATAACTGCTGGTTCATCAGAACCCATGGACCTATCCTTCTTTTCAAGTTCCTCCGTCTCCAGGATAAATCGCGCTTCCATGGAAAAAAAAATAACACATATTGTGATTGGTGGCCGGTTTCAAACGATCCTTAAGAGGTTTTTGTGTGAAGTAAGTAGGTCGTGAACATATCCCAATGGGATACTTAGTCAGTAGCCCTCCATGTTGCAGATGCCATCTTATGTCGGATCCAACTGTTTTCCCAGAGGAGCCAGATTCTCTCCTTTCAAAGACAGAAGTTTCCGTCGAAAAATCTCTTGTTCTAAAAAGAAGTTATGCAGTAAAAAGAGAACATATTTTGAATCATTTCAGACTTGGGTATCTGTTGAAAAGGACACAACACTTGGATCTCCTGTCCGAAAAATGACCCGCCTCTCCAGCGGTGAAACAGGACCGGATAGTCTAGCGGTTACATCACCTATCACAGACCACGTAGATTTGTCTGATGGTCAGTATGTAAACCATTACATTTATAAATATTTCCAAATCGTGAAGTGGGTTTCAAGCTTACACACTTGAAAATTGACCAATATTGTGAAGAGGTAGGTTTCTAGTTCTTCACCTTGTGTGTGCTAGAGCTATTATAGCTATATGTTTATAGGTTTATGCACGTAATATGTACTATAACATGTATCAATGTTATCTGTATGGGTTTATTACCTCTTATCTGAAAGATAATTTCCGAAAGAAAATGCCGTGTCCTCGATTGCACGAGAAAAACATGGAAAGCAACACGTCAGTTGATATTCAGTCAGTGGGAGTTATCGCCCTTAACACCTACATGTGCGTTATACCTTGGGTCATCAGATTTTGTTTTATTGTATGACATAGAAGTGTCGTGGTAGGCGACATTTATTGTATCAGGACAAGACAATGTGTTGCGGTAACAAATATAAACTACTTGGCAATATATATATAATCCACATTTTTAGCGCAAAGTTACACAGACAAGTAACAGTGCAGTTGTGTAGGAATCAGTATGTATTGGAGTGGTCCGTTTTTCGTGTTAAACAGACTTGTTAAGAGACAACTATATAAATAACAATGTATGTAGCATTCCTGTTCCAGATGCGATGACACCACAGTTTCTGGACAAATCGGCACAAGTGTAAGTTTCCATTAGGCTGAGTTTCTATGCATTTCATTAAGTTTCGTTCTGTTAACTGTCCATTGCATCTCTGTTGAATTATTCATATCTCGGCGAGAACCTATGTGACTGTCAAATATCAGATGTTACTGGAAGATTCAAGCCCACCAGGGAGTACATATCAATCAGACTTACAGTTTAAGTTAATACCAAAGTTCATTCCAAGAAAGTTCGATCGCAAATAATGGATTATATAGCACTTTTGTCATTTGACAGTATAGTAGGCAAGTGTTGAGCATCAAACGAAAATGGCTAGGTTTTGACTTTTACCTATTTATACACTTCAAAGACCAATGGGTTACGTAGATATAATAATGTTCCTGACAGTGAGCTAAAATTTCACAGATTAATACAAAAGCCATGCAGGCCCATGCCTGTTCATTACAATTAAGAAATGTTCCTCGTCGGAAGATGAAGGTCACACACACAAATGTGGTTAGACATGCTCCCCGGCGGAATCGAATCTTCCCTAAGCACCCAGTGGTCAAAGTGTTTGAGCAACGTTTCTTTAGCCCAATCGGTAGAGCGCTGAACTGGCAATCCCGTGGTCTTTGTTTCGAATCCTTGGTAGCATGACTAACAAATAATAAATAAATAAAAACATTTTCAGGATTACTTCAGAAGATTCTATATGTGGCATTGACATTTGTAACCCAACTGCCCGAAGGTCAACTAAGTATATGCCCTGACGAGTCTGTCATCCGTCGTCAGCATTTTTCTGTAAGCGACTTCTACTGAAAAACCCAGCGGTGAAGGTCATGATTTGTGGTCAGTAGCATGCTAAGGTGATGGGCTATCAATGTTGTTCATATGAATGACCTTGACACACTTTCAAAGTCAAAGGAGTCAAGTGTGTCAAAATATTTTTCTGCATAGCCAAGATGTCTATGGTCATGATAGTTTGCTGGTTGTATGCTGAGATTAAGGGCTATGGAA